TATTTGTATTTTTGCCAAGGCGAGAGCTCAACTGCCACTTCATCTCTTTTTCTGTTCTTCTTCCGACGACCCTTCAGTCTGTTTTCAAAAGCCTCTAGTTCAGCCTAAATCAAAACAGTATCATTTTTATTACATTTACTACAGACATCTATTTTTATTTAAATGAAAAGTACAAAGTTTCAAATCAGTCAATTTGGGAAAGGTTTTAATAGCAATGGCATATAGTAAATATAGTAATTTGATTTTTAAAATGCCCTCTCTCCACTACAAATTCAGAGTTTGGGTAAGTAAAAAAGGAACTGAGACATAATCAGATTATTTCAAACTCTAGGCCTGACTTTGATACTAACGATTAAAACGTCTGATTAAATTTAGGGAACCTAACATAGAGACGTTGCTTTCATACTTCAACACCATTATAGTTTGACACCAGCATTATAGAATTAGAGTTCTATACAGCTTCTTGCAAGCGCTAAGACAGACCAAGTAAGAATACAGATACCCATAATTCTAGTTTTTTACAATGCAAGTAATGACCATTAGCTTGTCAGGAAGAAATCTGAGTAAGAGAAAAGAGTTGCCAGAACTTGAGTATTCTCTTTACCAAATATACTTAAAAACATACAGTAAAAATTGTTCAAGGGAAAAATCACTTCATCCTTTAAATCAAATCTATTTTAGAAAGAAAAATTAAATATTTGTTCTATAAAAAGGATAACTGATTGCATTCATTATCAAATATGGATTTTTATTCTACTGCTAAGAACTTATCGAACTTTTATACATAATAATGTAATATAATACACTACAGTATATACTTAATACATATATAATTTTCACGCAAAATTCTGCAAACATTTATTCAATAAAAGGAAATGTAAACTTCATTTAACGTATCTATTATTGTGGCCATAAGCCACACTTGATAAAGATCAAATGATATCCTTAGTTTAATACAAAGTAGCATCCTTCAATGAAACAAAATGCAGGATCTCCCAAGT